AGTACAGTGCTGTCAGTGATAGGATAATATCCATATGCCTACAAGGAAGCCCAGTTAATACAATGATTATTCAGATTTTCGCACCAAAGCCAAAGAGGAGGAAATTGAATATTTTTTCTAACTCCTGCAGTCTGAAATTGACTAAACATGCAATCAAGGTGACTGAAATGCAAAAAGTTGAAAACAAAGAAGAATCACTGGTGGTTAGAAAATATGGTCTTGGTGATAAAAGTAATGTTGGAGATTACATGATAGAATTTTGCAAGACTGATGACTTATTCATTGCAAATACCTTTTTTTAACAATACAAATGGTGGCTATACATGTGGACTTCGCCAGATGGGGTACACAGGAATCAGATTGACTATATCTGTGGCAGGAGGTGATGGAGAAGCTCAATATTTTCAGCCAGAACAAGGCCAGGTGCTGATTGTGGAACAGACCATCAACTGGTCATATGCAAGTTCAAATTGAAGCTGATGACAGTTAAAAGAAGTCCACGAGAGCCAAAATATGACCTTGATTATAGCCCTCCCGAATTTGGAGACCATCTAAACAATAGATTTGATGCATTGAACACCAGTAACTCGAAACCAGAGAAATTGTGTGATGACATCAAGAATACCATCCATAAAGAAAGCAAGATGTCGTTAAAAAGACGGGAAAGAAAGAAAAGACCAAAATAGGTGTCAGAAGAGACTCTGAAACTTGCCCTTGAACGGAGGAGAGTAGCTAAAGCAAATGGATGAATCAACAGGATAAAAGAGCTGAACAGAAGATTTCAAAGAGCAGCTCGAGAAGACGATGTCAGTTATTATAATGAAATGTGCAAAAACCTGGAGTTAGAAAACCAAAAGAGAAGAACATGCTTGACATTTCTCAAGCTGAAAGAACTGAAGAAAAAATTTAAGCCTCCAATTGCAATATTGAAAGATTTTATGGCCAATATATTGAATGATGCAGGAAATATCAAAAGAAGATGGGTGGAATACACAGAGGCACTATACCAAAAAGAATTGATAGAGGATCATCCGTTTCAGAAGGTGCCATATGATCAAGAACCAGTGGTACTGAAGGAAGAAGTCAAAGCTGCACTGAAAGAATTGGTGAAAAACAAAGCTCCGGGAGTTGATGGAATACCCATTGAGATGTTTCAACAGACGGATGCCCTGCTGGAGGTACTTACTTGGCTATGCCAAGTGATTTGGAAGACAGCTACCTGGCCAACTGACTGGAAGAGATCCATACCCATTCTAAATGAATGTACCCATTCTAAAGAAAGGTGATCCCACAGAATGTAGAAATTATAGAGCAATATCATTAATATTGCATGCAAGTAAGATCTTACTGAAGATAATTCAGAAACGTTTGCAGCAGTCAATTGACAGAGAACTTCCAGAAATTCAAGCTGGATTCAGAAGGGGACATGGAGCAAGGGATATCATAGCTGATGTCAGATTGATCTTGGCTGAAAGCAAAGAATACCAGAAAGATGATTACTTGTGTTTTGTGGACTATGCAGAGGTATTCGATTGTGTGGATCATAACAAATTGTGGATAACATTGAGAAGGATGTGAATTCCAGAGCACTTAATTGTACTCATGAAGAACCTGTACCTAGAGGAGGAGGCTGTCATTCCAACAAAACAAGGGGAAACTGCATGGTTTAAAATCAGGAAGGGAGTGTGTCAGGATTGTATCCTTTTACCATACTCATTTAATCTGTATGCTGAGCAAATAATCCAAGAAGCTGGACTACATGAAGAAGAACGTGGCATTAGGATTGGAGGAAGGCTCATTAACAACCTGCGATATGCTGATAACACAAGTTTGCTTGCTGAAAGTAGGAATGATTTGAAACACTTATGCAAATTAAAGACTACAGTCTGTAGTATGGATTACATCTCAATATAAAGAAAACAAAAATCTTCACAACTGGGTCAGTGAGCAGCATCACAATAAATGGAGAAAAGATTGAAGTTGTCAAAGACTTCATATTACTTGATTCTACAATCAATGCCAATGAAAGCAGCAGTCAAGACATAAAAAGACGTATTACATTGGACACATCTGCTGCAAAAGACCTCTCTGAAGTGCTGAAGAGCAAAGATATGGCCTTGGAGACTAAGATGCGCCTAACCCAAGCCATTTTCAGTCACCTCATTTGCATGTGAGAGCTGAACAGTGAATAAGGAAGACCGAAGAAGAGTTGATGCTTTTGAGTTGTGTTGGTGAAGAATGCTGAAAGTACCGTGGACTGCTAAAAGAACTGTCCAAAAAAAAATCTGCCCTGGAAGAAGTGCAATGAGAGTGCTCCTTAGAAGCAAGGTTGGCCAGACTTTGTCTCACCTACTTTGGTCGTGTTGTCACCATTCTCTGGAGAAGGATGCCATGGAAGGTCAATGAAAAAGGGGAAGGCACTCAACAAGATGGATGGGCACAGTGGCTACAGCAATGGGGTAAGGTATAGTAGGGATCATGAGGCTGGACAGGACTGGGCAGTGTTTCGTTCTATTGTACATAAGGTCGCTATGAGTTGGAGATGTCTCAACAGCACATAACAATAGCTACAAAGTAAATTAAAAATCTATCTAGATGAGAGAAACCAACCCAAACTAACCAGAAAAAGGAAACCCACTGCTGTGGAGTTGAATCTAATTTAATAGCGACCCCATAAGATAGAGTAGAACTGCTACCCCATATGGTTTCCAAGGCTGTAAATTTTTATGGAAGCAGACTGCCTTATCTTTTTCCTGTGGAGCAGCTGGTGAGTTTGAGCTGCCTGCAGCTGAATGCTTTAACCACTATGCCACTAGAGCACCCTTTAACCCAAACTAGTTTGAGCAAAAAATTATAGGAAAAACATCACAGAACCCAGTGTCAGGAATGAAGATGGGTCCTAGGAAAAGTGTAGGACTATGAACTGGAAAACCATCAAGAACCCAAGAGGTATTCTTTTATGTTTCTCTGTCCCTCATCGTTGCTTTTCATCTTCATTGTCTTTACCTTTTCTTCCTTTTGGTCTAGTATATGCCTGTTCTAAAGCTTCTTTCTTATGTATGTCAGTGGGGACTGGCTGGTTGCCTCTGAATCTCAGTTCCAATTTCTAGTGGAGATTTCAGGATAAATGCATGGTACAGTGCTATAGTGCTTTGGATCAGCTGTTAATGCCCAGTCTACTCTGCTGGATGTAAGGGGGTAGATTTCCATTTATAAACATGGTTGTTGAGGCCAGAATCCTTTTAATAGGAAAGAGTTCTGAATGAGAGCACAGTCATTATTGTATGCTGTTGAGTCAGTTGAGACTCATACTAACCCTATATGACAGAATAGAACTGCCTCCACAGGGTTTCCTAGGCTGAAATCATTTATGAGGGCAGATTGCCAGGTCTTTTCTCCTGCGGAACTGCTGGTGCATTCAAACCACCGACCTTTTGGTTGTAATCCAAACACTTAATCACTCGTTGTACTACCTGAGCTCTTTGTGGATAGCCTATCAAAATAGGTTATTTTTGTTAGCTACTGTGTAATCACGTCAGCCCCTTGCCCATGGTGACTCCATGCACACCTAAACAAAATCCTGCTGGGGATAGATCTTCCAAATGTGTCTGTCATACGAATAATGTTACAGTGAGTGAATGTCTTTGTAAATTGGCTCATTTTTGCTAGTATTTCTTTGGGATAATTTTCTCCAATTTTAATAGTCAAAGTATTATACATTAAAAAAGTTTCAGTAGCTTCTGATAAGTTCCCCAAACACGTGTGCCAGTTTAAGCTCCTACCAGCAATATATGTGAATACATGTTTCCCTACGCTATCACTGTTGTCTTTTCCAGTCTAATACATGGAAAACCTCATTGCTGTTTTAATTTTGTATTTTAGTTTCTGTAAAACAGGAACATCTTTTACTATACTCCTAAGCCATTTTTATTTCTTATGTGAACATCTTATTCAGGTTTTTTTTGCCCATTTTTAAAATTGCATGTTTTGTCTTCACTCATTTTTGAAGGAGCTCTGCCTGTGTAGTGATTAAGGCAGTCTGACTGCTAACCAAAAGGTTGGTGATTGGAACCCACCAGCCACTCCATGGAAGAAAAATGGGGCAGTATGCTTCTGTAGAGATTATAGCCTTGGAAACCCAATGGAGGTTGCTGTGAGTTTGGTTTTTGGTTTATTTATTCAGAAGAGCCCTTCACAAATTGGGGAAATTAGTCCTTTGTGTGACATGTGTATTATTGTCTTACTTTGTCTTTTTTCTCTCTTGTGAATGTTTACTTTGGCCTAAGAGAGTTATAATTTTTATGCAGTCATACTTTTGTGTCTTCTGGAATGTTGTGTCATGTTTAGAGAATCCTTCATTACTCTGACATTATAAAAATATTCATTCATTGTGTTCTAGTATTTTTCTGATAAATGTTTTACATTAAAGTATTTGATCCATGTTAAATTTACTTTGGTTTTAGGGCTAAATTAGGGACTAGTTTTTATTTATTTTTTAAATTTTTAGTGGCCACTTGACTCACTCATCAAGTAGTAATTCTTGCCCAGTAATTTATAGACTTCATTTCATGAAATAATAAATTGCTACATATAATAAGTCTACTTATGCTGTCTTATTTTCTTCAATTGATCTACTATTTTTGTACCTATGGTTTTATAACCTCTGAAAAATTAATGGCTAATTAGACAAGGACAAATGGATGTTCACTGAATTTACAGAGTAAGTGGTTTTGTATATGATACTACTTTATGATATATAATATACTATGGTATATATGTTAATTATATAAAAAGCCACTGATTTTTCAACTGTATATTCTGGAGAATCAAGACATGAGAAGATCCTTTATGTCTTCTTTTGGCTTTGATTGTGTGAATAATTTGTATTTTGTGGGTTTTTTATTTTCCTCAGAAATCATTTAGAGCATCCTTTTAGAAAAGTTTGCTTAAGAAATTCCTTTTTGCAAAAGCTGTTTTTTATAAATGTTTTAATTATTCAGACCTCAGGAAATTTTCTGATGGAATTTCAAGTGAAAAATGTTTCTTCAGAAAGAATTGCAACGCAGAAGATCCTGTCTGTGATAGGAGAGTGCCTTGATCACTTTGGCCCTGGCTGTGTAGGTGTACAAAAAATATTAAATGCTCGATGTCCACTTGTGAGGTTCTCCCAACAGACCTCTGGATTTCAGTGTGATTTGACTACTAATAATAGGTATGTTCTCTTAAGCTTATCATCTTAAATGTGAATGTAATAAGATGATTAGCTTAATTTTTCTTACATAGAAAATGGCTTTGGACTCTTAAATGTGCTATAATAATACTTTTTACTGTTTCTTTTTATTGTGTTTTGTTTAATTTGAACGCTTGGATTGAAAAATAGGAAATGCTTTCCCTTACTTTCTTATACTTAGGAGTTCTGGTGGTGGTACGGTAAGACATATGACTGCCAACCAGAAGGTCAGCGGTTCAGACCCACCAACCACTCTATGGGAGGAAGATGAGTCAGTCTACTTCCTTAAAGATTTACAGCCTTGGAAACTCAGTGGGGTTGCTATGCATCGGAATTGACTCGTTGGCCCTGGGTTTTCTTATACTTACTGAATTTTTTAGTGTTTCTAAACCAAGTGTTAGGATGTTGTGTTAAAATGTTAATATATCTAACTAACTTCTTTTCAAAAAGTTGTATTTCCTTGTTTTACTGGTGTAGCCTGATAGCATGGTGGAAGTATCTATGTATCTATAGTATCTTAGACTGGGTTCTCTAGAGAAACAAAACCAGCGAAGCTTATATATAGAGAGAGAAATTTATCTTAGGAAAATGGCTCACAAACGTATAGAAGCCAGCAAGTCCAAAGTCCCTGGAGGAAACGTCGGGCTGGAGGCAGCCTTAGCTTCTGCAACCGCAGGGGACCGAGAAATTCAAGGCTGGCAGGCAGTATACTGGTTGTTGACTCCAAGATCTCCAGGCCCAGCGGTGGGCTGCTCATTCACGGAAGGTTGTAGTCAGCGCAGCAGGGTCCCGGTCCACAAAAGAATGTCTCTCTTCCCAGGATGTCCCTGGATATCCTGGAAGCAGACCACACCCCTAGGGAAACTCCTCTTGGGCAGATTGGCCACTCAGAACACAGTCATGGATCCCATCATGGGAACAACCACACAGAACTGGGGTCCAGCCAACTTGACACACAGCTCCAGCTATCACAGTATCTAAGGTATACTTAGGAAATAAGGGTAGCAACTTAACTTTGACTTCTGGATTGCCTCCAGGTCAACTTTTTATAATAAACAAATGTGATCTTCTCTGCCTAGGTTAGAAAGTGGTTTAAACTGCTTAAGACTGGGCAGTTTTTCTTCAGCATATTTGCATTGTACCAGCTTTGCTAACTAATTGCTTTTTTAAAAAAAAAAAGATGGACTGAGAATGACCAATCCTTTCAAACTCTGATTCCTTTCTCTGAATTCTTAATAAAGAATTCATTGTAAGTTGTGAAATTGACTTCCTAACTCTACTGTTCTCATTGCATGTGTTTGATTTAATTATATTAACTATTAGATACATAATCACAACTAAAAGTAGATTAAGAAACTCCAATCTAGAGCAGTATTGTTTAAACTTAAGTGTTTATAACAAGCCAATTATAAGTACTAAATTAGTAACCCTTGGAGTAAAGTCTTTGTGATTTTTTGCCAATTTTATATGAAAATACAAACTTCACTTTCTATCATTACTACGTTTGGTTTATAGTATGAAAAGTGTGACAGAATGATATTTATCTCTGTAATAGTTTTGTTTTATCTTGTTGGGACATGGTTTTAAAATTTTGCTTCAAGTTTTTGAACTCTAACAAATAATCTCTTTATATCTTATATCTGGTACATATTTTATACTTCAGCATAATATAGGTTTATTTGCATATATGAAATACTTATTCACTATGAATTCTCACCATTTATACTTTTTAAATCCAGGAAGTAAATGTCCTGGGGGTACTTTGGAGACAATTTGAATTTGCTCTTTTTAAAGGATTATGTGCCCTCTGGTGGTTCTTTTAAAAATTACAGTTCATATTTTGATCAGTAGGGAATTGATTTTAAATATGTCTGATTAATAATAATTTGAATTTTCTTATGGAATACAGGCTTTTTTGATGCCATTGAGGCTGGATGAACCACCAAAACTATTTCCCTGAGATAATCTTTAAACTTTAAACCAAAAAGATCCTCTGAAGTCTTCTTAAAACCAAGCAACAGTTTGCCTTAATTAGTAAAAAATGTCTGCCTTGAACATTGTGTGTTATTTCCCCCTAAATTTTACTAATTTTGTTGTTGTTGAGAATACACACAGCAAAACATAAGCTAATTCAAGTGTTTCTATATATATAGTTTAGTGACATTGATGACTTTCTTTTGTACAACTGTTCTCACCCTCCTTTTCTGAGTTATTCTTCCCTCATTAACATAAAATCACTACCCCCTAAGATTCCTATGTAATCTTTCAGTTTGCTCTTGTTAATTTGATCTCATATAGGTTGTTCTTAAATGACCATAATTCACAAGCCAGACTGTTTTATTAGTTAATAGTTAACTTAAATTACTGTTCAATTTTAAGATGACTTCAGAGGGTGTTTTTGGTTTAAAGTCCGAAGATTATTTCAGGGCAGTAGTTTTAGGAACCCATGAGAATTTGGAATTCTGCTCTGAATTTTCTCCCTTTTAATCAGGATTCTTCTAAGCAATCTTTGACTGAATATTCAATAATAGTTAACTGGGCACTATCTAGTTCTTCCAATCTCATGACAAAGAAGGCAGTTGTTCGTGGAGGAGCATTATGAATTTTTAAAGAACAATCTATGTGGGATCAAATTGGCAACATCAACTCCAAAAGTGAGGTAGGAAGGTTTATACAGTTGGGGACTAACAGTTCAGAAAAGGTGGGTGAGAATGGTTGCACAACTTGAAGAATGTAATCAGTGTTGTTGAATTGTACACGTAGAAGTTGTTGGTGTCTGTTTTGCTATATATGTTTTCAACAACAATAAAATAATTTTTGAATTTGCATTATAATATAACTAGGAAACTTATTGCAAATAAGGTTTGATTTCCTTTTAATAGACACTTGATCTTCCTGGGTTTTGATTTTTATAAATATTAACCTTAGATAATTAAAAAAAAATGTTTTGCAAACTACAATAGTTTGGCACATTTTATTTTTCCTGAAAAAATGTAGACTCTTCAATTTGTTTTTAGGCTAACTTGTCTACCAATGGACTAGGTAAACAAAACTAAGACAAAGAAAGTTTCTTTTAAAAATGCAGTGATATCTTTTATTGATAATCATTAGAGAGCACTTCTATAGTGGTTTCAGTTACTATTGAGGTCATGTTTTTGTTGTTTTGTTGTTATGTGCCATTGAGTCAGACCCGACTCATAGCGACCCCCCCTTGGGTTTCTGAAGCAGTATCACTATGGAAGTAGATTGCCCCATCTTCCTTCCGAGGAGTGGCTGGTGGGTTTGAACCTCCAGCCTTTTGGTTAGCAGTCATGTGCCTTAGGCATTGTGCTACCAGAGCTCCCGAGGTCATGTTTAGCAGCGTTGATTTATGAATTCTAAATTTTAGAGTTACACTGTAATCAACATTTAAGAAAATGTTTTAATGATAATGAATGTATTTGATATTTAACTATTCACATTGCAAATACACCATACTTTGATTATCTGATTTTGAATACATTCAGCTATGATAAGATAATTAGTTATGCTCTCCCACATGCATGTTTTAATCTACTCTTACATGAGAATTTAAGGTTGAAAATTTTTTCTATTTTTTGAAGGATTGCCTTGAAAAGTACTGAACTCCTGTATCTCTATGGTGCCCTGGATTCACGAGTAAGAGCCTTGGTGTTCAGTGTACGATGCTGGGCTCGAGCACATTCATTAACAAGTAGTATTCCTGGCGCTTGGATTACAAATTTCTCCCTTACAATGATGGTCATCTTTTTTCTCCAGAGAAGATCGCCTCCTGTTCTTCCAACTCTAGATTACCTAAAAAACCTAGCAGGTAAGGCTAAATTCAGTCTTCTCTATTTTCTCTTTCTGATGTTTTGAATGTATGTAATTACCATGTGTTACCAAGTCATGTATTTATTAGTTGTATAATTTGTCTTTGTAGTTTTAAAGCGTTGTGAACCAAAAGTTTAAGTGTTTCGGTTTTTATAATAACCACAAGGGGTCATGAGAGCACCTAATTTCTGAAGCTGGGCCTTCAGGATTTTTTGAGAGTCCTAAGCCGACTCGACGGCAAATAACAACAACAACAACAAGGAAGATGGGGCAATCTACTTCCGTAGTGATACTGCCTCGGAAACCCAAGGAGGGGTTGCTATGAGTTGGGTTTGACTCGATGGCACATAACAACATCTTACTTGTGGGAGCTGTGGTAGTGTAGTGCCTAAGGCACTTGACTGCTAAACAGAAGGCTGGCAGTTCAAACCCACTAGCCACTCCTTGGAAGGAAGGTTGGGCAATCTATTTCCGTAGTGATACTGCCTCACCTTGCTCACTGTGAGTTGGGTCTGACTTGATGGCACATAACAACAAAAACAACATCTTATTTGTGTCCTTAGCAGAGTTGGTTACATTGATCATGAGACTGTCGGAGCCTCACCCTTAGTTGACCATTCACTCTTAAATGACCTTGAAAAAAAACATTTCCTAGATATAGCTTTTGATTGGACCATATTTTTAGAGATAGCTTTCTAAACCTGAATATATTTCCAGATATATATTAGAGATGCTGAAAACTGCTTCAGGTAGCTTTAAAGATCCTAATTGTGTTTTTTGCTTAAAAGTTTAGGTACTCTTAGGTGAGTTATTAAAAAATTACTCGGCGGCACAAAACAACAACATTTAAATTATAAATGAATTAAAAATTTGTTAGTTTGCTTGAGAAGATACTAAACTATTATAGTTCTAAATTGTAAAGGAAGGTAATTAAGAACGTGTATATATTTTATCTTCTACTCATTCTGTGTACTGCTACTAATTATTTTGAAGTATATCTCTGAATCTTCCCTATTTAAAATAACCTTGAAGTGTTTTTATCTCTAATAGAATACTACTATTATGGAAACCATATTTTAGCTAACAGGGTGATTTTCAAAAATTCATATTTGATAGTACTATTACTTAGTTGGGAGCTCTGGTAGCGAAGTGCCTAAGGCACTTGACTGCTAACCAGAAGGCTGCCAGTACAAACCCATCAGCCTCTCCTTGGAAGGAAGGTTGGCCGATCTATTTCTGTAGTGATACTGCCTCGTAAAACGCAAGGAGGGGTCACTATGAGTTGGGTCCAACTCGACAGCACATAACAACAACAACATTATCTAGATTACAGTCCTTCAGTGATTTCTACTAGTTCTTTTTTTTTCAGTTTCACTAATTATTAAGGAAAAAAAAAAAACAGAATTTGTGGACAAATTAAAAATGACATGTTTAATTTTTGTCCCTAATCTATTCTGAAATAACTTTAAATTTAGTCACATCTTACGGTAAGAAAGGATAAAACTAGCTTTAGAATTCCTTACTTTATTACTTAAAAACACTACCTTGATTGCTTTTAAATTTTTATTTAATTTTAAGCATAGTAAGAGGAGCTCTGATAGCAGAGTGGCTAAGGCACTTGACTGCTAACCAGAAGGCTGGCGGTTCAAACCCACCAGCAACTCCTTGGAAGGAAGATGGGGCAATCTACTTCCATAGTGATACTTCCTGGGAAACCCAAGGAGGGGTCGCTATGAGTCGGTCCGACTCGACGGCACATAACAACAACAACAACAAAGATGAATTTTCAGGCTGTTTTTTGCAGCCACTTCTTTGGACATAGTACCTTGTGTATGTGAATTGGCAATAAATGCAGAGCACAATTTGTTACAATTATTGCTACTTTTTGTCTTTGTTTTTGCAAGTTCTAGAGTTAACTTGAGTTTGCTATAAAACGAATTTTAATTAGATTAATACTTTTATGTTAAGCATGTGGTGAAGATCATTTTGAAGAGAGTTTATTAAAGTAATTTTTTCTCACTCGTATAAGTGTGTTTAAAAATCCATGATCTACACTGCCTGATTTTAACCAATGGTCCAATATTGATATACATTAAACAATGTATGGCTAAGAATCAAAACTATCTTACACTGTAACTATAAGAACTATCTTGGGTATTCAGTGATTATGCTGTGTCTGTCATTTGACATACAGATGTTGTTGTCAGCTGCTGTCAGTCAATTCCAACTCATAGTGACTCATAGCAATACAACAGAACAGGACATTGCCCAGTCCTGCACCATCCTAACACTTGTTGCTACATTTGAGCCCATTGCTGTAGCCAGTGTCATTCCATCTCGTTGAGGGTTTTCCTCCTCTTTGCTGACTTTCTACTAAGCAAGATATCCTTCTCCAGGGACTAGTCCCTCCTGATAATATGTCCACAGTATATGAGATGAAATGTCGCCATCCTTGCTTCTAAGGAGCATTCTGATTGTATTGGCATACTTCAGTTTTGTTGCGCTTTGCTTTGTAATGTTTCACAGATACTCAGTTTCTCATGGATTGAAGGTTGTGGCCACCCTGCATTGAGTAAGTCTATCAGTGCCATTTTTCCAACAGAGTGTGCTTTACTTCATGTCTCTTTGCCACATTTTGGTAATTCTCACAGTATTTCAGACTCCTTCATAATGCTGTCACACACTTAATAGGACTACAGTATACTGTAAATACGACCTTTAAATGCACTGGGAAACCAAAACAATTGTGTAACTCGCTTCATTGCAATAATTACTTTATTATGGTGTTCTGGAACCAGATTCACAGTGTTTCCCAAGTATGCCTGTACTTCCAAGACCAATTTGTTTGTTCTTTGGGCTGTCATTGGTATATGCGGTATTCATCAACACCATAATTTAAATGCATCAGTACTTTGGTCTTCCTTGTTCATTGTCTGGCTTTTGCATGTGTTTAAGCCAATTGAAAATACCGTGGCTCAGGTCATGCACACTGTAGTTCTCAAAGTAACATCTTTGCTTTTAAACACTGTAAAAGGTCTTTTCCAGAAGATTTGCCCAATGCAATAAAAATAGAGGCTCTGAATTTCTTCTTTTTTTAAGAGTTTAAAAAAAAATTGTTGTTTGTTAATAGAAGGAAGTGTGGATCCCTGGAACATCCTCCAGAGTGTCTACTGCTTTATAAACCACTGTTTTGGACCTAGATTAAGACAAAGTCCAAACTTTTTAGCATTGTGTGTAGGACCCTTGTGATCTGCCTTTTCATCCTTTTCTCTTCCATTCATTCCTGTGTCTGCATCATGAACTTCAGCACTCTCATCTCCTTGCTGTTCTTCAGATGTTTCGTGCTTTTTCATATATCTGTGCCTGTCCCTGAAACGGCTTTCCTCTCCCTACCTCCTGTTTTATATGGAGAACTTCTAAAAGATTAAGCCAGGGAAGAAAGAAGACAAACCTCTAGTCCACAGGTTTCCTCATTTGAAAGTCAGTCTTGGTTGTTCTTCTATCTGCCTCTTAGGACGTAGGTGCTCTTTTGGCTTCCAAACACCTGGTACACATTGTATTGTAACAACAGTTAAATTGTTATATAATTCTTTTATCTGCCTGCCTCCTTAACTTGCCTAAGTGTTTCCAGGGAAGACTGTCTTTGAATTGTCTCTGTATCTTCAGTTTTTGGGATAGTATTGGGTCCACAATAGCAGTCAGGAAATAGATTTCAAATAATGGGATAAATGTTTAAAGTTGAAGGCTCTTTGTACTAAATAAGGTAGACCATGATGTTGGCTTACATATATTGATTACTCTTGAATTTCTCTATTTCTTTGCATTTTCTTATAATCTATACTACTTTCCCTCTTATGTCTTTTATTTTCATGTATTTTCTGTCATTTTTGGTATTGCTACCTGTGTTTTATTCTAAATGCTTAGTGATTGTGTGTATCATTTACCTCTTAGGATCAGTTGTTTGATTAGAGTTTTTCTTTGTTTAGGATTTCTATACGTCTTCTCTATGAGTAATTAGTAGTTTGAGAAGAAAAGATGGGGTGACTTCCATAGCAATATTAATGCAGACACCCCAGCATGGAATAGAGTTGTTGTATTGTGTTTAGTCTTTGGCTCCATATGACCCTCTTGATCCCTTTTGCCATAAGACTTCTTTAGTGGGAATCTGCGACATCAGGAAGGGTAAAGAGTTAGTAAGAGCAACAGTATTGAAGGTTTTGAGCAAAGATTATATAGCAGAATCCTGATCAAAAATGTTTGTGGGGGGGGAGTACAGAACAGAATTTGAAATATATTTGGAACCCATAGTTTCTAGAACTGAAGGCTGGATGAGTCCTGGAAACTATTACCCTGAGATAATCTTGAAACCTCAAACCAAAACTGTCCCCTGAAGTTTGAACCAAACAGTGGTTTTAGCTTAATTAACAAAGTATGTCTGCATTGAGCACTGTAGTGTTTCAAAGAATTATTTATATGGGTTCAAATTAACAAGAGCATCTTGAAAGGTTAAATGAGAAGCTTAGGGGGCAGTGAATTTATGTTAATTATGGTAGAATAATTTGAAAAAGGAGTGTGAGAATGGTTGCACAAATTAAAGGTTATAGTCAATGTCATTGAATTTACATGTAGAAATTGTTGAAATGGTGTATCTTTGCACACACAAAAAAGAGGAATATAAAATTGAAAAAGAAAAGCAGTATTGATTTATTAAGTACTAACTTTGCACCAGGCACTCTACCAAGAAATTTATGTGCGTCATTTCATTCAGTTCTTGTAGCAAACCTTATGAGGTAGTATTATTATTATTTTCATTTTATAGATGAGAAAACTGGCTTTTTAGAGGCTATCTAAATTTCCCCAGGCCACGTAATTAGAAGATGGTAGAGCTGAGGTACAAACCCAAGCACATTCCAGAGCTTACGCTTTTTTTTTTTTTTAACTCAAGTATAATACACATACAAGTGCATATATGTCTGAGTACATACATACATGTATACA